ATCATTAGGTCCATCGTGCCTTACAACGTTGACCCTTGTGATCATCTACCCAGTCGCCATACTGGCCAGGCAAGGGCCAGGACTATCGCTGATTCATCAACGTTGATTGTGTTGAATTAACGATGAATCGACGTTAATTCTGTATAAGTCGTCACATCAACAATGGGTTCGAGATCGACCACAAGTACAGTTTCTAAATTAAGGAACTGACATATGTGGAGAGTTAGTGTCACAATTGATATGTTTGTCCGTTAACTTTCAAAAATTCAAAATTCAAATGTTTCTTTAGGTAAAAGTACATACGTAGAAGATGAGTTACAAACATGATGTTGGATTTCTAGATACAGCTAGTACATACAATACCTAAAGCCACTAATACGCACAGCGTTTCGGGCAACTTAGCATTGATTGAATGTCGACTCGGCGTGGAATTGACGTTGCTCTTGAGTACTGTACCCACTGGGTAGCTTGTTCTCGCCAACGTTCTTAACGTCAAAAAACTGTCGTACAAAAATGTGCCCTTATCCTAAACTTCCAGAGGAACCCACAAACAAAAAACGGGACAGTATGTTAGGGGCCTCGTAGCCTGGTGGATAGCGCGCAGGACTCGTAATTCTGTGGCGCGGGTTCGATTCCCGCACGAGGCAGAAACAAATGGGCAAAGTTTCTTTCACCCTGAATGCCCCTGTTACCTAGCAGTAAATAGGTACCTGGGTGTTAGTCAGCTGTCACGGGCTGCTTCCTGGGGGTGGAGGCCTGGTCGAGGACCGGGCCGCGGGGACACTAAAGCCCCGAAATCATCTCAAGATAATCATCTCAAGATATGTCAATGTCGCGAGCCGCTATCATTTTCTAGTACGATGATTTTTGGCGTACTAGAAAATTGGTTATCTCCATGTGCAATCCGTCATAATTATTTACCTTAAGGCCACTAATAATCAAGTGGCCTCCACGAGGACAGGAAGCCGGTGACTTGTCAAGTTCCTCACCCTCATTTGAAAGGCTCTCAACCGTTCCTGGTATGAGAGTTGATTTAGTTCAGGAGTGAATTTTGTTGCCCGGTGTTGCACTTACTCCAGAGCAGCTGTATCCTTCTAAAGATGAGGTCTCCATGCTTGGGTAGAATAATCAAAGTGAAGCGCACCAGAGATTTATACAGTTGAACAACTACCTTTTTTTTCCTGAAAGTCAGAAGTTCGCTTGATGAGGTGTGATGAGTCTTTTTTTTACAGCAGCTCCCACTTGTTGTGCAACTTTACTGAATGGTGGATTCTGACTCCAAGGTCCTTGTCTTCATCTGTCTGTTGAAAGGTAATGCTGTTGTTTAGGTAGTTGAGACGTGGGTTGTTATGCCTCACATGCAAGGTATTGTATTTGTCGATATTAAAAAGTATTTGCCAGTCTGCTGACCATTTGTGGAGTTCATGTAGATCTCTTTGTACCTAATCTTGTTATAAAAAATATGTAAGTCCCCAGTATCATTTTTACTTCTCACTTACCATAAATATTAGTGTCATCTGCAAATTTGATGATGTAGTTTGTAATATTCTCATCTATGTGGTTGATGTACATGACAAAGGGGTGGCCCCAAAATGGTCCCCTGCGGTACACCACTCACCACCAGGTTTCTCCAGTCAGGTTATTTTAGTTTAGCACAACCCTTTGTTTCCTTTGTTTCGACCATTGTCTTATCCAGTCTAATACCATTTATTTCATGCATCTGTAACTCCCTTGCCAGTCTTTCCCATGGTACCTTATCAATGGCTTTAGCATAGTCCTTTGTCTGAATACTCGGTTACTGTTTCCAAAAATGTGATCAGGTTTATAAAGCAGGATCTATTTTTTAACACACCCATGTTGCGTTGCTTTTATTTATTTTATTTATTTATTTATTTATTTATTTATTTATTTATTTATTTATTTATATACAAGAAGGTACATTGGGTTTGTGGGAATACATAGCATAGTATTTACAATCTTGTAAAGTCACTAGTACGCGCAGCGTTGCTTGCTTTTACAAGAATGTTTACTGTGACATGTTGAATGATTCCTTCTCTTAGGATTCACTTCATGAGCTTGCAAATGTGTGATGTCAAGCTGATGGGACGGTAGTTTTCTGCTGAGTGGTTTGTCTTGTTTTTAAACTAGGGGTGAGATTTGCATATTCCCAATCTAAGGGACCTATAGAATGTTAATTCAACTTATTTTCTATATTCTCTGTTAACCCCCAATGTAACTTCTTGTATATAAATAAATCAATAAGTAAATATTTCCCTTGGTCCAAAGATATTCTGAAAAAAACGTTTCAGTGGTAGGCATAGTTCGTCTGCCAGTTACTTTAAGACTTTGTACTAAATTCCGTCCACACGTAAGGCGTAGTCTCCCGTCCTCATTGTGTCGCACGGTATGGGAATATTCCTTAATTCCTTCCCTTCATCTCCCTCAAACATTTGTGTGGGTAATGGGGTGTTGTCGAATCTTTTTTTTTTTTTTTTTTTTTTTTTGAGATATATACAGGAGTTGTTACATTCTTGTACAGCCACTAGTACGCGTAGCGTTTCGGGCAAGTCCTTAATCCTATGGTCCCTGGAATACGATCCCCTGTCGCGAAGAATCGTTTTTTCATCCAAGTACACATTTTACTGTTGCGTTAAACAGAGGCTACAGTTAAGGAATTGCGCCCAGTAAATCCTCCCCGGCCAGGATACGAACCCATGACATAGCGCTCGCGGAACGCCAGGCGAGTGTCTTACCACTACACCACGGAGACTTCTAGTGTGAACACTGATGTAAAGTATTCATCCAAAGTGTTTTCTGTACCTCAATTGTACCTGGATGGGTTCTGGGAGTTCTGGCCCCGGGCCGGGCTTGGGGAGTAGGCTTGACTAGAGAGAGCTTGGTCCAACAGGTTGTTGCTTGGAGTGGCCCGCAGGCCCACATATCCACCACAGCCCGGTTGGTCCGGTATTTCCTGAAGAAAACTATCCTTTTATCATCCATTATAACTTGGTTAATTTCACCTTTTAAAGGGGTCCTATCGAATCCTATGTTTTGAGTTTACTTCTTATATAGGCATAGAACGACTTTGAATCTTTGTTTTCTTTCGTAGTTTATCATAAAATATTTGTGATTTTCTTTGAATTTATGACATAATCACTGGATAGTCTTTGTATATTTGCTAGGCAGGTAACTTGAGGCTATTGGTAGTACAGTCGGGTTCGTTGTCGACTCACAATCGCGAATTCCGGATTCGAATCCCGGGCGGTACAGAAATGGTTGAGCGCGTTTTCTATCACCGTAATGCATCTGTTCACCTAGCAGTAAATAGGTAGCCAGGAGTCGGCTTGTTGTGGAGTTGCATCCTGGGAAGGGTTAGTAATTCTACCCTGGGGGGTGGGGGGGGGGGGGAGCAGGCCTCTATATAAACCTAATATATACTCTATGTATAATCTGGCTGCCTGTCCCCCCCCCCCCCACACACAATTAATTGAATGATCTATTTCCCGACTTGTTTAGTAGAATCATAATTATACATCAAACGTTAGGCTATACTAATTTTTAAAATGAAAACCTTAAACAGACCAAATTCAAAAACAAAAATTGGCCAGAATGTAGCCTAATTCATGAGGTAATTTCCAACTTTCAAATGCAATACGACAATGGTATGTCCTAAACAGACTGAAATGTCTTCCACAAAACTCCCCAACTCTGGTTAGATTTGGACCTAATTTCTCGAAGTCATTTCAACATTAAATGTTGCAGCTAAACGAACTAGAGGGTTCACACACAGAGATCACACTAACGTGATGCATCAAATGAACAAATCCTCAAGGGCCGTGACGAGGATTCGAACCTGCGTCCGGGAGCATCCCAGACACTGCCTTAATCGACTGAGCTACGACAGGGTAAAACTTTTACCCTGTCGTAGCTCCCGGACGCAGGTTCGAATCCTCGTCACGGCCCTTGTGGATTTGAACTAGAGGGTTCAGTTCCTGAACCGATTATGTGCCTCTATAATCCTTTACACCACCGCCCACGGGATGGGTATGGGGTGCATAATAAAGAAAGAAATTGAAGGACATCAGCTCAGTGGGCAGTCATTCCTAATCCTTATCCTGACCCTCTTCCAAGTGCTCTAATATACGCGTAATGGCTTGGCGCTTTCTCCTGACAGTTCCCTTCCCAGTGGGGCCCAATATCCAAGAGTATTACCGAATCGACGTTGATATAGTTGATTCACTGTCGAATCGACGTTGTTGTAGGATATTGTTCCCACTGTGAAATGGCAATACACTTTTGAGTGTGATTTAAGCCGTTAGATTGAACCCGTGGAACCGCCTACCCGCCGTAGCTGTAAATGCCAAAACTGTTAACTTTTAAAAGTATAACTGGTAAAGATCAAGACAAATGTGTGTGTGTGTGGGGGGGGGGGGGTTAGGGGGATATTTGAGAAGCCGCCGGCTTCCTGTCCTCGTCCAGGCCACTAGTGTTAATGGCTCTCAGGTAAATTCAGGTATATGATGTGACATAGTGGTCATGTGTGTGTATATCGCCCGCCCCATCGGCGTCTAAACGTCGTACACAAGGAGTCCTATTATCAACCAAAATCCTATTGAAGATACGCCAGAAAATCTGCCCTTCGCAACAGTTGCTTTCATCGTATATATTTTACTCTTATTTTGTTATTATTAATTCATTTATATACTTACATGTTTGACTCATACGATCTACGAGAGTGTGAGAAGACATCAATTTCCATGTAAAAGCGACCAGTGTGGTCCCGGCCGCCACAGGGGGAGGACACACGTGCTCCCAGCGGGGCGGGTCGTTGGTATACTTTTGCAAGAGGTATAATTTAAACACAAACAAGGAGGTGATTTTGATCATTTAATTTCAAGACATATTTTTCAGTTAAACAGTTTTGTGTATTATTCATTTAATACACCCACAAGATAGGATTCGTGATTGGTTTTGTATTATTGATTTAATTATTGCAATAGGATTCTCGGGGAGAAAGAAACAGATTTTCTATAAGAACTGTCTTTCTGTTACGCCGAAAATCTGACTTGTCAGCTGGGGGTCACGACAAGTATTACTACACTGCTGTCAGAGGTCAGTCGTACGACACCGCTGTAACAGACCAGTCGTACGACACTACTGTAACAGACCAGTCGTACGACACTGTAACAGACCAGTCGTACGACACTGTAACAGACCAGTCGTACGACACTACTGTAACAGACCAGTCGTACGACACTGTAACAGACCAGTCGTACAACACTGTAACAGACCAGTCGTACGACACTGTAGCAGATCAGTCGTACAACACTAACAGACCAGTCGTACAACACTGTAACAGACCAGACGTACAACACTGTAACAGACCAGTCGTGCGACACTGCTGTGACAGACCAGTCGTACGACACTGGTGTAACAGATCAGTCGTACGACACTGTAACAGACCAGTCGTACGACACTACTGTAACAGACCAGCCGTACGACACTGTAACAGACCAGTCGTACGACACTACTGTAACAGACCAGCCGTACGACACTGTAACAGACCAGTCGTACAACACTACTGTAACAGACCAGCCGTACGACACTGTAACAGACCAGTCGTACGACACTACTGTAACAGACCAGCCGTACGACACTGTAACAGACCAGTCGTACGACACTACTGTAACAGACCAGTCGTACGACACTGCTGTAACAGACCAGTCGTACGACACTACTGTAACAGACCAGTCGTACGACACTGTAACAGACCAGTCGTACGACACTACTGTAACAGACCAGTCGTACGACACTACTGTAACAGACCAGTCGTACGACACTGTAACAGACCAGTCGTACGACACTACTGTAACAGACCAGTCGTACGACACTACTGTAACAGACCAGCCGTACGACACTGTAACAGACCAGTCGTACGACACTACTGTAACAGACCAGTCGTACGACACTACTGTAACAGACCAGTCGTACGACACTACTGTAACAGACCAGTCGTACGACACTACTGTAACAGACCAGTCGTACGACACTGTAACAGACCAGTCGTACGACACTACTGTAACAGACCAGTCGTACGACACTACTGTAACAGACCAGTCGTACGACACTACTGTAACAGACCAGTCGTACGACACTACTGTAACAGACCAGTCGTACGACACTACTGTAACAGACCAGTCGTACGACACTGTAACAGACCAGTCGTACGACACTGTAACAGACCAGTCGTACGACACTGTAACAGACCAGTCGTACGACACTGTAACAGACCAGTCGTACGACACTGTAACAGACCAGTCGTACGACACTGTAACAGACCAGTCGTACGACACTGTAACAGACCAGTCGTACGACACTGTAACAGACCAGTCGTACGACACTACTGTAACAGACCAGTCGTACGACACTACTGTAACAGACTAGTCGTACGACACTGTAACAGACCAGTCGTACAACACTACTGTAACAGACCAGGCGTACGACACTGTAACAGACCAGTCGTACGACACTACTGTAACAGACCAGTCGTACGACACTGTAACAGACCAGTCGTACGACACTGTAACAGACCAGTCGTACGACACTGTAACAGACCAGTCGTACGACACTGTAACAGACCAGTCGTACGACACTAACAGACCAGTCATATGCCACTGTAACAGACCAGTCATACGACACTACTGTAACAGACCAGTCGTACGACACTACTGTAACAGACCAGTCGTACGACACTACTGTAACAGACCAGTCGTACGACACTACTGTAACAGACCAGTCGTACGACACTACTGTAACAGACCAGTCGTACGACACTACTGTAACAGACCAGTCGTACGACACTACTGTAACAGACCAGTCGTACGACACTACTGTAACAGACCAGTCGTACGACACTACTGTAAAAGACCAGTCGTACGACACTACTGTAACAGACCAGTCGTACGACACTACTGTAACAGACCAGTCGTACGACACTACTGTAAAAGACCAGTCGTACGACACTACTGTAACAGACCAGTCGTACGACACTACTGTAACAGACCAGTCGTACGACACTACTGTAACAGACCAGTCGTACGACACTACTGTAAAAGAGACCATTCGCATGACACTACTCTAAGAGATCACTGTTCTACTCTAACTACGAGGCCAGTCTTACAGTTCACAGTGAAACGAAACGTTTCCGTCGGTACAGGAGCCAGATTCACGAAGCAGTTACGCAAGCACTTACGAACCTGGGGCCAGATTCACGAAACAGTTACGCATGCACTTATGAACCTGTGCATCTTTTTTCAATCTTTGGCGGCTTTGTTTACAAATATTAAACAGTTAATGAGCTCCGAAGCACCAGGAGGCTGTTTATAACAATAACAACAATTGTTTGGCAAGTTTTCATGCTTGTAAACTGTTTAATAAATGTAACCAAAGCCGTCAAAGATTAAGGAAATATGTACACTTTCGTAAGTGCTTGATTAACAGCTTCGTGACTCTGGCCCCAGCCGTATAACACGTGTCCCTGGCCACAGTGTAGGACTGAGAACATCAGATGCCTTTTTCACCCAAAGGGTTATAAACCCGTGGAACCGCCTACCCGCCGAAGCCGTAAATGCCCAAACTGTTAAATGTTAAAGTACAACTGGAAAAGATCACCAAGGCAAATAGGGGAACCTTCGACAAGCCGTCGGCTTCCTGTCCTCGTCGAGGTCAATAGTGTTAGCGGCCCTCAGGTACAAATAAAAAAAAAAAAATTTAGTATCCGTATTAACTAGGGATAATATACGTGTGAGATGAGGATTTCTACAGTGACGTATTCTATATCTATAACCGTATAGGCGTATCCGGATTACAGAACTATATCCGGATTGTAGGCAGAGAAAAAATAATAATGACTCGGTTTTATTTTTACGCGCAATTGACAGTTCCGATACGAACCCTAATGAATAATTTAACGCAGTCATTATTCAATTGATTACGATAAATGGATTACTATTTCGACTGTTTCTACTCGCAAAAATCATTAGAAAATCACAGTAGATGAGGCAGACAGCAGCGCCTACCCGCCTTGCTGCTCGACTCCCTGGACTCTCCTGGTGTGAGACATTGGAGGGCAGCGCCTACCCGCCTTGCTGCTCGACTTCCTGGACTCTCCTGGTGTGAGACACTGGAGGGCAGCGCCTACCCGCCTTGCTGCTCGACTCCCTGGACTCTCCTGGTGTGAGACATTGGAGGGCAGCGCCTACCCGCCTTGCTGCTCGACTCCCTGGACTCTCCTGGTGTGAGACACTGGAGGGCAGCGCCTACCCGCCTTGCTGCTCGACTCCCTGGACTCTCCTGGTGTGAGACACTGGAGGGCAGCGCCTACCCGCCTTGCTGCTCGACTCCCTGGACTCTCCTGGTGTGAGACACTGGAGGGCAGCGCCTACCCGCCTTGCTGCTCGACTCCCTGGACTCTCCTGGTGTGAGACACTGGAGGGCAGCGCCTACCCGCCTTGCTGCTCGACGCCCTGGACTCTCCTGGTGTGAGACACTGGAGGGCAGCGCCTACCCGCCTTGCTGCTCGACGCCCTGGACTCTCCTGGTGTGAGACACTGGAGGGCAGCGCCTACCCGCCTTGCTGCTCGACGCCCTGGACTCTCCTGGTGTGAGACACTGGAGGGCAGCGCCTACCCGCTTTGCTGCTCGACGCTCTGGACTCTCCTGGTGTGAGACACTGGAGGGCAGCGAATACCCGCCTTGCTGCTCGACGCCCTGGACTCTCCTGGTGTGAGACACTGGAGGGCAGCGCCTACCCGCCTTGCTGCTCGACGCCTTGGACTCTCCTGGTGTCAGACACTGGCCATTATGGAGAATTTGGAGAGTTTATCTAGTTTCATAATATTTCCAACGTTATTTTGTTGTAAATAGTTCATGTTGCAGTCGAAAGATGCAAGAAAACTTCGCGTTTGTCAGTGAACATAGGAACTGATAGTCTACAAGAACGCAGTTACATGCGTCTAACTTTATTTACATAGAAAGAGCTCATTTTATTCCACCAGAGGGGGATAAAATGAGTATATTTATTTTTACGTGGACAAGCTTGGTAACAAGAGTTTTTTTTATATAGTGTGCATTGTGTGTGTCAAGAGATCAGGTTGGCGCCAGGCAGGAGCGCCATAAAGCTTCGTGTCCCCCTGCTCGCTCGCCAGGCTACGCCCGACCCTCTCAAGCTGACCCCAGCTTACCTACACACACACTATCACGCCGACATCTCGGGCGTATGCGTATACAGTACAGCCCACGGGTCGTCCTCGCCTCCTATATATTAACAACAGCTGCAGATCTCAGCGACTATACTGTCTCTGATCTCACAGCTCCGCCTCTCGGCTCAATTCTCCTTCTCCTCGCTGTCGGTAGTATCGCCCTCCTTCGAATTTTCGTCGCTCATTCCGCTTACGGATTTACTTTTTGATTTGTGGAAGGGGCTCCCAGGGCCGCCTTTACTGCTCGACTCGTGGTCCGCGTAGTCGTAGTAGTCGTAATCCAAGTAGTCGTAGTCCCGCATGGGGCTTGGTAACCTGAAGGGCGCGGGGGTGGTGCGGGCCAGCTGGGCAGGGCGGTAGAAGTTGTCGAGGCTGGGTTCCCCGACCACACGCACGGGGCGCGGCACCGGTCCGTTGGAGTGGACGTTCTTGCGGCTGTGTGGGACGGGCACCAGGTTGAGCAGGTGGATGCCCAGCGGCGCCAGGGACCTCGCGCCCTGGTGGAGGCGACGACGAGCCGGTCGACCGGACGTGTGGAGGCCCATGATGACGGGCGGGGTCTGGTGGCTCTTGACGCTCACGGGCTGGGGCACCAGCTGCCTAGACCCGACCCGGGGCTTGGGGGCGTTGGGGATCTGGAGCCGGCTCACCAACACGAAGTCCGTCCCCGTGACGGACTCCGCCGAACGAGAGTTCATGATCTCTACCAGAAAGTTTTTTATATCTTGGGACCTTTGAGGTGTCTGGGGGCGGCGCTGAGAGGCGGCGGTATCTGTAAATACTGTGGATAACTTTTGGAACACCTCATCCACAAACTTGTGCCCTGGAGGCGTGGCAGCAGCAGGCTCAGCAGACTGTGGTGCTGCAGGATGCTCCGGCTGCTGCACCAAGTCTGCGTCATCTTCCTTGTCTCGAGATGCGAGCCGCTGAGGCACGTAACTTGCAGACTGAGCAGCAACAGCTTCTACCACCTCGTCTTGTGTGGCAAAAACTGGTAGTGCGAGGCTCGGAGGAGCAGCAGCAGCATCTGACGTGGTGGCAGAAGCAGCTGTAGAGGAACCACCAAGCGTCCTGGGCTGCGAGATCACGTCCCCCGACAAGTGAACATCGTAATCTCGTCCGCCATCAACATTACTTTTGAATTCCTGCGAGAGAGACTGAGAGGGAGGTCCCCCTGGCTGGCCAGGGGCGGCGAGGGTGGCGGTCCCTGGCTCTGGGTTAGATCCAGTGCCCTTTACAGGCACCGTCTGTCCTGCCCCGAGCGCTGGGACGCCCCCTCCCAAGGTCCTCTGCTCGGATGGAAACGCTCGGACACCCTTAGCTAGCGTCTCTTGCTCGGTGAAAAGCTGGACGCCCACTACCACAGGGACGCCGATGGGGATAGGGTCGGTGGGAGGTTGAGAGCGGCTAGGCACCACGTCCCCGAAGGCTCGGAACCCGCCCGTGTCCGCCACGTACCATATCTGTCGGCGCTCGCCCTCCTTGTCCACCCAGCTGGAAAAAGATAAATTATGCTTAAGCCATTTTTTGTTTTGTAAATTATCAGCAGCTAGAAGTAATTTACAGTATTTTTTTACTATAAAATTTGTATACAAATTCAATATTTATATCTTTCGTTACGTATTCATGTTTGATACAAGGTATTTCAGTATAATGAAATACAAATGGGGAATTACAATGAAAGTAATTAAGTAATAATTTAAAGTACAATTTCTAGAATATTGAAATTATTTGTTTAAGCAATACAATACAAAAAAGCAACAAAGAAAAGGAAACCTGGGACCAGATTCACGAAGCAGTTACGCAAGTACTTACGAACCTGGGGCCAGATTCACGAAGCAGTTACGCAAGTACTTACGAACCTGGGACCAGATTCACGAAGCAGTTACGCAAGTACTTACGAACCTGGGGCCAGATTCACTAAGCAGTTACGCAAGTACTTACGAACCTGGGACCATATTCACGAAGCAGTTACGCAAGCACTTACGAACCTGGGGCCAGATTCACGAAGCAGTTACGCAAGCACTTACGAACGTGTACATCTTTCCTCAATCTTTGACGGCTTTGGTTACATTTATTAAACAGTTTACAAGCATGAAAACTTGCCAATCAACTGTTGTTATTGTTATAAACAGCCTCCTGGTGCTTCGGAGCTCATTAACTGTTTAATAATTGTAAACAAAACCGCCAAAGATTGAGAAAAGATGTATAGGTTCGTAAGTGCTTGCGTAACTGCTTCGTGAATCTGGTCTCTGTTTGTCACGAAGGCGCGGTCTTATATCTAACCTTCCTGACTTGGCGTTTGATGGTCACAATTATTTAATTACTAACTTTATCCCGAAGGCACTTGCAAAAAACTTGAGGACTTGAATTAGCTTAAGTATTTCTTCTACACTACAAGAAATCGTGTCTCAAGTAGCTCAAGGAACTAAATTATGGAACTACATTTCTCTCACCCTCCTTGCACACTCACATAGCATTATCTAATACACCAATTAGATATCCGCCACAGCAAGCAGTAAGTATGTCTCTCCCACACCAAGTGTCCCCCCCACAGCAAACGTAAAACTCTGTTGACCAGACCACACACTAGAAGGTGAAGGGACGACGACGTTTCGGTCCGTCCTGGACCATTCTCAAGTCGAAGACCACACACTAGAAGGTGAAAGGATGACGACGTTTCGGTCCGTCCTGGACCATTCTCAAGTCGATTGTGAATGGTCCAGGATGGACCGAAACGTCGTCGTCCCTTCACCTTCTAGTGTGTGGTCTGGTCAACATACTTTAGCCACGTTATTGCGACTCCTCGCCAACATAAAACTCTGCCACACCAAGACTAGTATCCTCAGTACGGACCTCCAATTTCCCGTGACATTGACACCAGGCAATCCTTCCTCGGCCCTCGAGTGTTGGGACTGTGTGTAGCGAAGGATCTGCCCCGACCACACCCTGCCACACCCTGCCACCAACACGCCCTGTGGGGAAGAAGCTCAGGTTAGCTGACGCACACACACCTTGCTTTTGTTGATGTTCTCAAGGCCTATATCAACCTCTGGAGGGCTGGCAGCAGAGAGAGAGAGAGAGAGAGAGAGAGAGAGAGAGAGAGAGAGAGAGAGAGAGAGAGAGAGAGAGAGAGAGAGAGAGAGAGAGAGAGAGAGAGAGAGAGAGAGAGAGAGATAATGAAAAACTGAGAGAAAATCATTTATATTTTGTGACTTATTATAGTGGCAAGACGTAGCTATGAAACAACAGGTATACACACAGAATTAAGACAAAACATTCACAAAATCCGTTAAAAATAATGTAATTTAACTACAATATTGTGTGATTTTTGGTGAAGGTTAGTTACTTGTGTAGAGTAATGCGTGGTCCCTTGTGCTGGGCGCCAGGGACAGTAACTGGTAGTTACTTGTGTAGAGTAATGCGTGGTCCCTTGTGCTGGGCGCCAGGGACAGTAACTGGTAGTTACTTGTGTAGAGTAATGCGTGGTCCCTTGTGCTGGGCGCCAGGGACAGTAACTGGTAGTTACTTGTGTAGAGTAATGCGTGGTCCCTTGTGCTGGGCGCCAGGGACAGTAACTGGTAGTTACTTGTGTAGAGTAATGCGTGGTCCCTTGTGCTGGGCGCCAGGGACAGTAACTGGTAGTTACTTGTGTAGAGTAATGCGTGGTCCCTTGTGCTGGGCGCCAGGGACAGTAACTGGTAGTTACTTGTGTAGAGTAATGCGTGGTCCCTTGTGCTGGGCGCCAGGGACAGTAACTGGTAGTTACGTGTAGAGTAATGCGTGGTCCCTTGTGCTGGGCGCCAGGGACAGTAACTGGTAGTTACTTGTGTAGAGTAATGCGTGGTCCCTTGTGCTGGGCGCCAGGGACAGTAACTGGTAGTTACTTGTGTAGAGTAATGCGTGGTCCCTTGTGCTGGGCGCCAGGGACAGTAACTGGTAGTTACTTGTGTAGAGTAATGCGTGGTCCCTTGTGCTGGGCGCCAGGGACAGTAACTGGTAGTTACTTGTGTAGAGTAATGCGTGGTCCCTTGTGCTGGGCGCCAGGGACAGTAACTGGTAGTTACTTGTGTAGAGTAATGCGTGGTCCCTTGTGCTGGGCGCCAGGGACAGTAACTGGTAGTTACTTGTGTAGAGTAATGCGTGGTCCCTTGTGCTGGGCGCCAGGGACAGTAACTGGTAGTTACTTGTGTAGAGTAATGCGTGGTCCCTTGTGCTGGGCGCCAGGGACAGTAACTGGTAGTTACTTGTGTAGAGTAATGCGTGGTCCCTTGTGCTGGGCGCCAGGGACAGTAACTGGTAGTTACTTGTGTAGAGTAATGCGTGGTCCCTTGTGCTGGGCGCCAGGGACAGTAACTGGTAGTTACTTGTGTAGAGTAATGCGTGGTCCCTTGTGCTGGGCGCCAGGGACAGTAACTGGTAGTTACTTGTGTAGAGTAATGCGTGGTCCCTTGTGCTGGGCGCCAGGGACAGTAACTGGTAGTTACTTGTGTAGAGTAATGCGTGGTCCCTTGTGCTGGGCGCCAGGGACAGTAACTGGTAGTTACTTGTGTAGAGTAATGCGTGGTCCCTTGTGCTGGGCGCCAGGGACAGTAACTGGTAGTTACTTGTGTAGAGTAATGCGTGGTCCCTTGTGCTGGGCGCCAGGGACAGTAACTGGTAGTTACTTGTGTAGAGTAATGCGTGGTCCCTTGTGCTGGGCGCCAGGGACAGTAACTGGTAGTTACTTGTGTAGAGTAATGCGTGGTCCCTTGTGCTGGGCGCCAGGGACAGTAACTGGTAGTTACTTGTGTAGAGTCATGCGTGGTCCCTTGTGCTGGGCGCCAGGGACAGTAACTGGTAGTTACTTGTGTAGAGTCATGCGTGGTCCCTTGTGCTGGGCGCCAGGGACAGTAACTGGTAGTTACTTGTGTAGAGTCATGCGTGGTCCCTTGTGCTGGGCGCCAGGGACAGTAACTGGTAGTTACTTGTGTAGAGTCATGCGTGGTCCCTTGTGCTGGGCGCCAGGGACAGTAACTGGTAGTTACTTGTGTAGAGTCATGCGTGGTCCCTTGTGCTGGGCGCCAGGGACAGTAACTGGTAGTTACTTGTGTAGAGTCATGCGTGGTCCCTTGTGCTGGGCGCCAGGGACAGTAACTGGTAGTTACTTGTGTAGAGTCATGCGTGGTCCCTTGTGCTGGGCGCCAGGGACAGTAACTGGTAGTTACTTGTGTAGAGTCATGCGTGGTCCCTTGTGCTGGGCGCCAGGGACAGTAACTGGTAGTTACTTGTGTAGAGTCATGCGTGGTCCCTTGTGCTGGGCGCCAGGGACAGTAACTGGTAGTTACTTGTGTAGAGTCATGCGTGGTCCCTTGTGCTGGGCGCCAGGGACAGTAACTGGTAGTTACTTGTGTAGAGTCATGCGTGGTCCCTTGTGCTGGGCGCCAGGGACAGTAACTGGTAGTTACTTGTGTAGAGTCATGCGTGGTCCCTTGTGCTGGGCGCCAGGGACAGTAACTGGTAGTTACTTGTGTAGAGTCATGCGTGGTCCCTTGTGCTGGGCGCCAGGGACAGTAACTGGTAGTTACTTGTGTAGAGTCATGCGTGGTCCCTTGTGCTGGGCGCCAGGGACAGTAACTGGTAGTTACTTGTGTAGAGTCATGCGTGGTCCCTTGTGCTGGGCGCCAGGGACAGTAACTGGTAGTTACTTGTGTAGAGTCATGCGTGGTCCCTTGTGCTGGGCGCCAGGGACAGTAACTGGTAGTTACTTGTGTAGAGTCATGCGTGGTCCCTTGTGCTGGGCGCCAGGGACAGTAACTGGTAGTTACTTGTGTAGAGTCATGCGTGGTCCCTTGTGCTGGGCGCCAGGGACAGTAACTGGTAGTTACTTGTGTAGAGTCATGCGTGGTCCCTTGTGCTGGGCGCCAGGGACAGTAACTGGTAGTTACTTGTGTAGAGTCATGCGTGGTCCCTTGTGCTGGGCGCCAGGGACAGTAACTGGTAGTTACTTGTGTAGAGTCATGCGTGGTCCCTTGTGCTGGGCGCCAGGGACAGTAACTGGTAGTTACTTGTGTAGAGTCATGCGTGGTCCCTTGTGCTGGGCGCCAGGGACAGTAACTGGTAGTTACTTGTGTAGAGTAATGCGTGGTCCCTTGTGCTGGGCGCCAGGGACAGTAACTGGTAGTTACTTGTGTAGAGTAATGCGTGGTCCCTTGTGCTGGGCGCCAGGGACAGTAACTGGTAGTTACTCGTGTAGAGTAATGCGTGGTCCCTTGTGCTGGGCGCCAGGGACAGTAACTGGTAGTTACTCGTGTAGAGTAATGCGTGGTCCCTTGTGCTGGGCGCCAGGGACAGTAACTGGTAGTTACTCGTGTAGAGTAATGCGTGGTCCCTTGTGCTGGGCGCCAGGGACAGTAACTGGTAGTTACTCGTGTAGAGTAATGCGTGGTCCCTTGTGCTGGGCGCCAGGGACAGTAACTGGTAGTTACTCGTGTAGAGTAATGCGTGGTCCCTTGTGCTGGGCGCCAGGGACAGTAACTGGTAGTTACTCGTGTAGAGTAATGCGTGGTCCCTTGTGCTGGGCGCCAGGGACAGTAACTGGTAGTTACTCGTGTAGAGTAATGCGTGGTCCCTTGTGCTGGGCGCCAGGGACAGTAACTGGTAGTTACTCGTGTAGAGTAATGCGTGGTCCCTTGTGCTGGGCGCCAGGGACAGTAACTGGTAGTTACTCGTGTAGAGTAATGCGTGGTCCCTTGTGCTGGGCGCCAGGGACAGTAACTGGTAGTTACTCGTGTAGAGTAATGCGTGGTCCCTTGTGCTGGGCGCCAGGGACAGTAACTGGTAGTTACTCGTGTAGAGTAATGCGTGGTCCCTTGTGCTGGGCGCCAGGGACAGTAACTGGTAGTTACTCGTGTAGAGTAATGCGTGGTCCCTTGTGCTGGGCGCCAGGGACAGTAACTGGTAGTTACTCGTGTAGAGTAATGCGTGGTCCCTTGTGCTGGGCGCCAGGGACAGTAACTGGTAGTTACTCGTGTAGAGTAATGCGTGGTCCCTTGTGCTGGGCGCCAGGGACAGTAACTGGTAGTTACTCGTGTAGAGTAATGCGTGGTCCCTTGTGCTGGGCGCCAGGGACAGTAACTGGTAGTTACTCGTGTAGAGTAATGCGTGGTCCCTTGTGCTGGGCGCCAGGGACAGTAACTGGTAGTTACTCGTGTAGAGTAATGCGTGGTCCCTTGTGCTGGGCGCCAGGGACAGTAACTGGTAGTTACTCGTGTAGAGTAATGCGTGGTCCCTTGTGCTGGGCGCCAGGGACAGTAACTGGTAGTTACTCGTGTAGAGTAATGCGTGGTCCCTTGTGCTGGGCGCCAGGGACAGTAACTGGTAGTTACTCGTGTAGAGTAATGCGTGGTCCCTTGTGCTGGGCGCCAGGGACAGTAACTGGTAGTTACTCGTGTAGAGTAATGCGTGGTCCCTTGTGCTGGGCGCCAGGGACAGTAACTGGTAGTTACTCGTGTAGAGTAATGCGTGGTCCCTTGTGCTGGGCGCCAGGGACAGTAACTGGTAGTTACTCGTGTAGAGTAATGCGTGGTCCCTTGTGCTGGGCGCCAGGGACAGTAACTGGTAGTTACTCGTGTAGAGTAATGCGTGGTCCCTTGTGCTGGGCGCCAGGGACAGTAACTGGTAGTTACTCGTGTAGAGTAATGCGTGGTCCCTTGTGCTGGGCGCCAGGGACAGTAACTGGTAGTTACTCGTGTAGAGTAATGCGTGGTCCCTTGTGCTGGGCGCCAGGGACAGTAACTGGTAGTTACTCGTGTAGAGTAATGCGTGGTCCCTTGTGCTGGGCGCCAGGGACAGTAACTGGTAGTTACTCGTGTAGAGTAATGCGTGGTCCCTTGTGCTGGGCGCCAGGGACAGTAACTGGTAGTTACTCGTGTAGAGTAATGCGTGGTCCCTTGTGCTGGGCGCCAGGGACAGTAACTGGTAGTTACTCGTGTAG